CCTAATATTAGAGGTTATATTGAATGGATAAGTAATGTAAAGTAATTTTATTTTTGTTTACATCAGTGAACTGATAAAAATATAATGGCAGTTCCATCAGTTTCATTATCAACGAGAAATAAAAAGCATTTTTTAGGTGTTCCAGCACCTTTGGGATATGTAGCTGGTGTTGGAAGAGGGTAATTTATAAAAACAATATTTTTTAGTTAACCTCTTTTAATAAAATAAACATTAATTTTTAATTATTGATATATTTTCTTTTAGAGCTACTGGATTTACAACTAGATCTGACATTGGTCCAGCTCGAGATGCTAACGATGTTTCGTAAGTATTTTATTATATTTGATTTTTTATCAACACGAAAATGTTTTATATTAATTTTTATATTTCATTTATAGAGATGATAGACATGCTCCACCTACAAAAAGAACAAAAAAAAAGGAAGAAGAAGAAGAAGATGAAGAAGATTTGAATGATTCTAATTATGATGAATTTTCTGGATATGGAGGATCATTATTTAGTAAGGTAAAATATTCAACAAAAATTTTTTTGATCATATAACTTATTTTATTAAATAATTAAACATTTTGTAGGATCCATATGATAAAGATGATGAAGAAGCTGATGCTATTTATGAGGCAATTGATAAACGAATGGATGAAAAGCGTAAGGAGTACAGAGAAAAAAGGCTCAGAGAAGAATTAGAAAGGTATCGTCAAGAACGTCCTAAAATTCAACAACAGTTTTCAGATTTAAAAAGAGAATTGGTAAATGTAAGCGAAGAAGAATGGAAAAATGTTCCAGAAGTTGGTGATGCTAGAAATCGAAAGCAACGAAATCCACGAGCAGAAAAATTTACACCATTACCAGATTCTGTTCTTGCACGAAATTTAGGTGGTGAAACGTCCACTAGTATAGATCCATCAAGTGGTTTGGCATCTATGATGCCTGGTGTAGCAACACCTGGAATGTTAACACCTACAGGAGATTTAGATTTAAGGAAAATTGGACAAGCAAGAAATACTTTAATGAATGTTAAATTGAATCAAGTTTCTGATTCTGTAGAAGGACAAACTGTTGTGGATCCTAAGGGTTATCTTACAGATTTGCAAAGTATGATACCAACGTATGGTGGTGATATCAAGTAAATGAAACATAAAAATATTAAATATATCTTAATATATTTGCTAATTTAATTTAATGATAATTTAATTAATTTTATATAATTATTCTTATTTAATTTTAGTGATATTAAAAAAGCCAGATTATTGCTGAAATCTGTAAGAGAAACGAATCCTAATCATCCTCCAGCATGGATTGCTTCTGCACGTTTAGAAGAAGTTACAGGAAAAGTGCAAGCTGCACGAAATTTGATAATGAAAGGCTGTGAAGTAAATCCTACATCAGAAGACTTATGGTTAGAAGCAGCTAGACTTCAACCACCAGATACAGCTAAAGCAGTAATTGCTCAATCTGTTCGACATATACCAACATCTGTTAGAATTTGGATAAAAGCAGCAGATTTAGAAACCGAAACAAAAGCAAAAAGAAGAGTATATCGTAAAGCATTAGAGCATATCCCTAATTCAGTAAGATTATGGAAAGCTGCAGTAGAATTAGAAGAGCCAGAAGATGCGCGAATTTTACTTAGTCGAGCGGTCGAATGTTGTCCAACTAGTGTAGATTTATGGCTTGCGCTTGCTCGATTAGAAACCTACGATAATGCCAGAAAAGTACTTAATAAAGCAAGAGAAAATATTCCAACTGACAGACAAATTTGGACAACTGCTGCTAAATTGGAAGAAGCAAATGGGAATAAACATATGGTTGAGAAAATTATTGATCGTGCAATATCTTCTTTAAGCGCAAATGGTGTGGAAATTAATAGAGAACATTGGTTTAAAGAAGCTATGGAAGCTGAAAAGGCTGGAGCAGTACATACATGTCAAGTAATAGTTAAAGCAATTATTGGTTTTGGAGTAGAAGAAGAGGATAGAAAACATACATGGATGGAAGATGCAGAAACTGTAAGGCTTTATATTCCATTTATATTTAATGTTATACAATCAAAATATATATATTATTTGAATTCATTTTAGTGTGCTCAACAAGGTGCGTTGGAATGTGCTAGAGCAGTATATGCTTATGCATTATCGACATTTCCAAGTAAAAAATCGATTTGGTTACGTGCTGCTTATTTTGAAAAAACGTATGGAACACGAGAATCTTTAGAATCTTTGCTTCAAAGAGCAGTTGCTCATTGTCCAAAGAGTGAAGTACTTTGGCTTATGGGTGCAAAATCAAAATGGTTAGCCGTAAGTAAAATTTAAAAAAAAAAAAAATTTTACGAAAATATTTTTATAATTAATATAAAATTTTTTTTTAAGGGAGATGTTCCAGCAGCAAGAGGTATATTATCACTTGCATTTCAAGCAAATCCAAATTCGGAGGAAATTTGGTTAGCAGCTGTAAAACTAGAATCAGAAAATTCTGAATATGAAAGAGCTCGACGATTGCTTGCGAAAGCACGAGCATCTGCACCAACTCCTAGAGTGATGATGAAAAGTGCAAAATTAGAATGGGCTTTGAATAATCTTGATGCAGCTTTATTACTTCTAAAGGAAGCATTAGAAGCATTTGATGATTTTCCAAAATTATGGCTAATGAAAGGACAAATCGAAGAACAACAAGGAAACTTGGATAAAGCTTTAGAAACATATAATCAAGCTGTAAATGTTCATCTCATATTTTTTATTAATTAATTTTTATTAATTATTTATTTTTATTTATTTATTTTATTTTTATAGATAAAAAAATGTCCAAATTCTATTCCATTGTGGCGTTTATTAGCACAATTAGAACATAGAAAAGGTCAAGTTACTAAAGCTAGATCAGTTTTGGAAAAGGCTCGTTTAAAAAATTCGAAGAATCCAGAACTTTGGTTAGAAGCTATCAGAAATGAATTAAAGTCTGGTGGTGTTAGAGATATGGCAAATACGCTTATGGCAAAAGCACTTCAAGAATGCCCAACATCTGGTTTACTTTGGGCAGAAGCAATTTTTATGGAACCTCGACCGCAAAGAAAAACAAAAAGTGTAGATGCTTTGAAAAAATGCGAGCATGATCCTCATGTGCTTCTTGCAGTATCTAAGTAAGTAATTAACATAGAATATTTTTATAAAATATTATATTTTAATATTTTATAAAAATATAATTTATATTAATAATTTTTTATCATTTTAATAATTATTTGATAGATTATTTTGGTGTGAACATAAAATTTCGAAATGTCGAGATTGGTTTAATCGAACAGTTAAAATAGATCCAGATTTAGGAGATGCTTGGGCATATTTCTATAAGTTTGAACTTTTAAATGGAACAGAAGAACAACAAGAAGATGTAAAAAAGAGATGTATTGCTGCAGAACCTCATCATGGTGAAAATTGGTGTAAAGTTTCCAAAAATATAGTAAATTGGTGTTTAAGTACGGACCAAATTTTAATATTAGTTGCAAAAGATTTACCAATTCCAATATAATATTTGATTAATAATTTAAATTAATATTATATATAGATATTTTTTAAAAATTAGTTATAACTGAATAAATAATTTAAATATAAAATTTTTTAAAATTCACTTTTAATTTCCATTTTATTTTACTTAAATATTTTAGCTCATAATTTATTAGCATTTATTAATATTATATATGCATATTTTTTTAACAATTTAAGATATTTCAATTTCAAAGCCATTTCTTAAGCATATAAATTTTATGAAATAAAGAGAGTAAATAGTAGGAAAAGGATAAAGATAGGATAAAAATGTTAAAATCAGTTTTATATTCAGAAATGCCGTAAATTCAGAGAAAGACAACAAAGAAAGAATAAAAAATAGTAAGAGAAGAATAGAGATAAAATAAGAATTGACCATCAGTGTCAACTTTTAAGTGTCAAAAACATCTCTTTAAAGTAAAAGAAAGATAATATAACAATTAAAAATGATCGCTATCTCTTGAGTATTTTTGAGTATTTTTAAGATATTTTTAATATTTAATCTTATTCAAGAGATAGCATTGATCGTCAATTCTTAGCTTATTTCTGTTCTGCTCTTTCTACTATCCTTTCTCTTTATATTTTATTTGCAGCATTCTGAAGATGGCGTTGATTTCAATATTTTTATTGTCTCTATCCTTCTCTCACTGTTTGTATTCTTTGTGCATTTTTTTCTATAAAATTCTACATTGCTATATTATGTTATATCTCTATCATAATAATTATATATATATTTATTTTAATTTTATTATACCACTATTAATATTACAATTTTATTCTGTGCCGAATCGATAATATTGTAAATGATATTAAAATGGTATGTGATACGTGGATTTAAGTATATTCTAGAAAAACAAAAAATACATTGAATAATATGATAATATGTTTATATATCTTGTTTATGATTTTAGCATGTTTAGTGATTGATATTAAAAAATTTTTCAGCATACCATAAACAAAATATAAAATTTTGTATTGCATCTTAAATTTCATTTATTATAGATAATCAAATAATATAAATAATTAACAAGGAATATTTTTTTCAGTTGATAATATTAATATATTTAAATATCTATTGATTTATTAAATTTTTATTTACCAAATATTTTTATGAAAGTTAAAATTTTAAAATGTTCTTAAGCATCTAATAAACATAACCTATGAAATTTATTATTTATTTGCTTAGAAAATGCATTTTATTATTGCAAATAATATATGAAATATAGTTGTTACATTAAATATAATAAAAGTTATATATTTCTCAATTTAAATAAATATTTATTTTTTATAATTAAATTATTTTTTAATTATTTTTTAACAATTTGTTGGAAAAATCGTATTAGATTATTATTTTAAATAAATATTCTAAATACATAATGAAATTTCAAGTTTCCAAATATATTTCACAGAAACAGTGAACAGAACTGCCATATGACGTGCAGCTGGAATAATTGTAAGATGAGTCATTCCAGCTCTTGTCAACCCCTAAAAGCCCTTCAATTTTGCTCCCTTTCAATTATATCAGATATAGCATTTTTACAATATTTTTGCTGTAATAATAATTTTCATTTTTTTATTCAGTAATAATAATAAGTATTGATTGAAAAAAAAATCTAATTTAATAACGAAATAAAAATAAGCGAATTTACGTTTGAAAAACATGAAACTTTTTCGTGCATCGAATGCGAAATCATACTCGTCGCCAAGGGTGAGTCAGCCACCCTCCCGATGACGGTCAAGGAGACCATTGGAGGAAGTGTTCGAAGGATGGAAGGAGGAATTTAACAGAAGAGGGGAGGGAAATGATGCTGTGCGATTGGCCAACATTCAGGGCCGGAATTTGTGGTGGGAGTTGAACAGTGTGAGCGTAGGATCGACAGAAGTAAGAGTGAAAGAGTGGTTCGCCGGTGTTACTTGGTGTTACGTGCTACGAAATCACTAACCGGTCAGTCAGTGTACTGCTTCCATCCTGCCCTTGAACACTTGGCTGGACGGTGTTAACGTTTGCCTACCTTTCTAAGTGACAACTGACAGGTCAGTGCTCTTTGCCGTCGATGCATTTTATTATGATCAGTTAAATTGCATGCGCTTTTAAATAAATAAAAATATACGGTGATATTTTAATAAGATATCAAAATAAACCGGCTTTCATTATCTCTCCAAAAAAGATATATTATTGTGTGTGTACATACATGTTTTTTAATAAGATAAAAATTATTTGAAAAGGACCGGTATTCACAAATTGCTTGTTATTTTTATTACTTTCAAAAGAAAAAAATTAGCAATATATATATATACATATATATATGTATATATATATATTTAAGAATATCGATCGTCTTCATTATTCTCTGATCAAAAATGGAGGGGTGTGGTCAAATCTCTCTATGTGTTTTGGGTATATACAAATTTTGATAATACGAATTAATTTTTTAATATTTTTTTTTTCTAATATATTTAATATATATATATATATATATATTTTTGATGTATTGTGACATTTTATATAAAATAATTATTACTTAAATATCTAATATCATTATTATTATTCCATATTCTGTAGAATTATATTTTCGTATAATTATATTTTATATATTTAAAATGATAATTAAGTTTTAGATAAATGAATCACATTTAATTGTATATTTCAAAAACATAGCCTTATATTTATTGCTAAGTTTCTTTGAGTCTTTATATTAGGATGATAGGATGGAGCAAGGGCGTGGTTTTGACAGATGCACTCCGCTGCGCATCAGGCACGCAAATGCGTTTCTGGTTGCCGACTGATGAGCACGCTTCTGTTTCTTATAATTACAAGCATTTATTGTATTTCGATTAATTTTTACGTCGAAAATAGTTTTAACGAACAAATTATTAAAAAATTTAATTCAATTTTTCAAAATTTAATTGAAATAATTTAATATCGCATATTTTAGTTTATGAAATGAATTATAATTAATGAAATCTGAGTGATTGCTTTGATGGACTTATTAAAGTGCAATATGAACTCACATTCTGTTTTAATTAACATTTTTTTATGCGTGGTATCTTCATAAGAGAAAATCCAGTGGGTATTTGCATCTTATCATGTCTCGGACAAGTTGATTCGTTTCAAGGCAAGCGAGCAGATATTTCAAATAAGTATTCCAGAAATTTTATTTATCGATTTGTCCCGCAAACGTTTTCATTCGTTGACATATTTCATACATGCGATATTTATTCTTAAATATACATGCTTATTCTTAAACATAATGATCATAATTTCTAGCTTACTTGCAATTTATTATATTTAAAGTAATAAAAAAAATAAAAAATGATAAAGATAAATGATGTGATTTATAAATCAATAGTATGAGTAAAATATTTTTTTTGAATACAATTAATTATATAAAAATATATATTTTTGTTTTATTTTAATTATATATATTTTCAATTAATATTTTTCGATATATATATATATATATCAACAAATGTTTATGAATCAAAGGAAAAAGAACGAGGATCAAGGTGAATCCCACGCGATATATTAAAAAATTACCTTTTTACCATTGACCATGAAAAATGATTAGATCGTCGATACATTATATAGCACATATAGATAGTTGTGAAGAGTTCAGATACCCCACTCGTCGACCCCCGCATTGCCAATCGATGAAACCGTCTGCTTCCACTCGACCGCTCCCCCGATGCAACCCTGCATGTCCAAACCGACATATACGCATATCACAGACACGAGGGGGCGTGCGCACACTGCTATTTCATTCACGTTCCGGAAGAGAAATATCTTAAAATTTCTTTCAACATTTTCAAGGTCTGGATTAAGACATAATCTTATATATAAATCTTATATATATAATTAATAAAAGAAATATTAAGAAAATGCGAAAATAAATTTAATTTGCAATATTTTTTTTAATTATTTTGTTTTAATTATTTTTTTATTATAGATAAAGATTTATTATTCACTTAAAATTTCTAATAAATTTTTTAATATAATTATATTTATTTTTTATTTAGCAAATATATCCAAGATGTTATTGGACATGTATGTTACAATTTACAATCAATAAGATTAAATTAAACTTTTATAATATTCATTGATATACAGTTTCATATTTATTTATGAAATTTCTTTAAGACTTATTGCAAAATCACCGTAATATGATATATATTTATGTATATTTAATAATAGTAAAATATATAATTAAATTTATAAGAGTAAAGTTTATATGTCTATATTCAATATTTAGTTATATATTATAATATATAAAATTCATTTCGTACAACAAAAAAAGAAAAATTCTAACAAAACGAATTCTAAGTTACGAATATAAAACGGGCCGCTTGGTAACACGCCCCTGAACGTACGCGCCACCGCTCGATACGACACGCGCGCGTCCAGGGTTCGTTAGCCGTCACGGTTGCACGAAAGAAAGACGAGAAGGAGAAAGAGAGAAAAAGAGGGCGTTTGTATCGCATTTGCTCGTAGCGCAGTCGCGACACGGAATCATCGTACAAACGTATTTTTTAGCTACACTGCATACTTTTACGTAGGTATAATATGGTATACGTAGGCAACTTAACGTGTATGCAGTTCATCATCACCGTTAACCAGTCGATGGAATAAGCACACTGGTTCGTTCAGAAGCGAACCGCTGCATACGCTATTGAGAATCCTCTATTAAACGTGATTACCCAAGTTAATTGACAAGCCGCGCGAACTTGTTACTTGTCAACCATAAGGTCTTTACCAGGAATAGATAACAATGTCCGGCCAGAAACCTTTGGATGATCGACTGATCTTATCGATTCCACCGGATATGTTTACAGTCAATCGGTTTCAAACATGTAGGCATTCGTTTAATAGATTTAAGTGGAAATTCTAAATTATATTTATTATATAATTATATTCGTTTATTTGTATCCTTATAATTATTAGTACCGCTCTTAATTAAAAATATATAAACGATCATTATAAATACAGTGAATAAATAATTAAAATTCAAATAATTAATATTGATAAAAAAAATTAAGCATTCTTTTCGATATATAATTTTACAATTATGTATTCAATCTCGTGATTAGCATGAATTGTCGAAGCGTGATGTACAGATATGTTCTGTAAACCGGCTAGCGCGTCGATGCGAACAACCTAGTTTCCTTATTAACTTGCAGACCTCTTTTCTCTTCGCGAGATCAAGTAGGATTTATCGTGATTTCTCTTCGAACACTGACATATTGAGACCATTTTTAGTTCTTGTTATATTGTAATCCAATGAAATACATCATTGAGAACTATTATTGCTTTTCTGACTTTTGTGAAATCGACCGACTTTACGCTGTAATATGAAATTAATAAAATTATTCGCTTTGAAAATATATAAAGAGAAAGTATTAATTTTGATATTTTTATGAAATTTTATCTTATTATAAATTGCTATTATATTATAAAATAATATTCAATATTAAATATTTCTATTAATCTTCAAATTTCGCATGTACAAATTAATTCGTATTTTTTTATACCTTTATTCCTGAATTTGTTAATCATAATTAACTGAAACAATCTCTTGATTTTGTTACCGTTATAGCTAACGCTTACTACTAATTTAGTGTGGGTATACTTGACAAGAATAGTGAGAGAAGAAATATTCAACAAGCGAATACATAAAGGACACAAATGTGCTTTGCAGTTATGGATTCAGCCTCTTTCGAGCTTTCTCTATATACAGCCATGCGACTGGCTACCATATAAGGACCTATACACAGCCTTGTCGATGCTGACCCACCGTTGGAACGTATCTCTTGAAACGCTCTCTGAAACCATTGATATACGCTTATCTTTGCCTTCTTGAATCTTTCGTAATTTTTTTAATATTATTCCTTTTATTTTGTCATAATAATCGTTAATACTCCCTAAATTTTATAGGATTAAATGTTTTTGAATAATTTTATTTAATATAATCAAAAAATTTTTAAAAAGAAATAATTTCCAAAAAAAAGCAAATATTATTACTTATTTATCGAAATATAGAAAATAAATTAATGTTAAATTTCAGAGACTAAAATTTCTTAAAAAAAATATAATAGTTTCAGATTTCAGTCATTTTAAAAAGTTTATCAATTGTAAATAATATTAATTTTTTTATTCTAATTTTAATAAAATAATATTAAGATTTTCTTATAAAAAATATTCTTTCTTGTTTAAAAATATTTGTCTTTTAAAACTATTATTTAATTATCATTTAAAAATAATGAATATAAATAACATAAATAGAAAAGAAACAAAATGAAATAAGAAAAAGAAAAAAATGGAAACGAATATGAATTATTCAACTTCAATGGTGTATAAATTTTTTAAAATAGTATTCAGTTTAGTATTCAAATTTAGTATTCAGATCAATATTTTTTTATAACATTTATAATAACATTTTATATTGAACAGTATAAATATAGAACAGTATAAATTTTTTTTAAACAGTATATATTGAACAGTATAAATTTAGAAAATTGTGTAATTTTTCATATTCTAAATTTATTCAAGTAACGAGAATTTGAAATGTCGATTATCAATGTCTTTACTGGAAAACATAAAAGTACCGTGAATGCTGGATTCAATATATGAACAATATAATGAATCTTTTGAATTCCTTCCGAATGATCACATACTGACTACGAATTATTTTTTAACGTGTATCAAAACATTTTATTAATATTGTAAATTTGTTAAATTTAATGCTTCCAAAGACATATACATATATATGTATGTATAATGCGAATATTTGATAGAACATTTTTATAAATTTTTTTATATTTTTCATATTTTACAAATTTTTGTATATCTAAAAAATAATAAAATAAATATAATATGATAAAAGAATTTGATAAATATTTATATCATAAAAAATATAATCTGTGAATATTTATAAGATTTTAGATAAAGATCCTGGTTTATAAAAATACCGCTATTTTAATAGAAAAATACACAGAAGCATGTGATTAGAAAGGAAATGGAAAGAAATGCCAACCGGAAATAACAAGCTTCTTCTTCCGCTTTATAACATATTAATTACTGTGGAGTGTAATACAAAATTTAGATAACAAATATATTATTTTTATTTATATTCTTTTTTGCTTTCATTTAATAATATTTTTATATTTAAATTGAACATATCTAAATAAATACGACAAAATTGATCAATTAATTACGAATAATAATATTATTGCATTTTAAGATATTCAACATAATTATATCCAATCGTTTTTTTACTTATAAAAAAAGAAAACAAAAAAATACTTAAAATACTAGACGAATTTGCCTTCCTTACATTCATTAAAAATGATGCTATTCATTCGCAATTTATTATATTTGCATCTATATTTTTTATTTAGATCTTTCGTTTTTCATATTTTAAAATTTTAAATTTTTAATATAATTTATATTTTAATTTATATTTTAATTTATATTTTATAATTTTTATGCTTTTTTATGCATAAAGAGTACATATTACGAGATAATTTTTAATATTTAAATTGAACAAGTCAAACAAGTTACATGTTTCATTTATCGATATATTCTGGCATTTCTGTCAATATGCATTGAAAGCGTCACTAAAAGCATTCGATATCGATATGTTTTCGATAGACATGTATATAAGTACATGTGTCACGTTTGTATACGAACTTCCTTCGTCTCGATGACAATTAACCAATGCATTCAACGACATTGGCAGATTTATGCTTTTTGTTATTTCTGATATGCATATCATCCGGTGTTCGATCATCATTGTTCAATTGAGAATAAAGAAAATAGGTTAAAAATCTGAATATGTGCCGCGATTCGCAGCAATACCATTGTGAAATTGCATCTTTTTTGAATTCTTTTAAGTTGTATGAGTTTTAATTCATTTCTATCTTTCTTTTTTAAATTTATAAGTTAAATATTTTGATTAAAAATATATATATAATATTTAAAAAATTCATAATTTTTAAATATCAAAAGTATTAGGAATAACTTGATTCTGTTTTGTTATGAATATAAATATTAGAGAAACTTTTTTTATTTGGACGTAATAAACAAAGACATATCATTTCTACGGACAAAACTCGACAGTTCGTTTCAGATTGCGGTTCAAGTTGTTGATGTCAGTTTTATAATTGGAAATTCTTTTGGATATCAATAATCAAACGGAACTCTGCGGAAAAATAGCAAAGTATACATAAGAGATTATTATTTTAAAAATAAATTGAGAATAAATAATACTATTACAATCTTATAATTCCTTAAATGTAATAGATTCATTTAAGATGTCTTTAATAATTAATAATTAATCTATTAAGGTTATATTATGAATTGTATTCATTATGTATCATTTAATTAATTAGTGATATGCGATTAATGTTATTATTGTAAACAATCAAAATTTGATTGTTTGTTTCAGATTAAAGAGTACAACAAATCACCATGTCGAGTCCGTCGTTGAAAGACCTGCCAAAAGTAGCCTTAGATTTGAAAAGCGAATTGGAAGGTTTCAATCATGGCTGTATGAAAAAAGCCTCAACCGCTGAAAAGAATGTTCTACCTTCTGCTGAAGGTATAATATAAATTTCATTATTTTTTTATTAAAATTTTTGTTGCATTATTATTTTAATGTTTTTATGATTTAATACTTATAATATTATAGACATACAGAGTTCTATATTCTTATAATTTGTTTCGATCGATTATAATGCATGTAATATTGTAACATATAGACGTACGACAAGAACGACAGCATTCTGAATTAATCCACGATGTGGAAACATTTAAACCAGATCAATTGAAACACGCCGATACGAAAGAGAAGATCATATTACCCAATGCCAAAGGTATCACTGTTTATTTGATTCCTAGGGGAATATTTCATTCTCAGGTTCTCTACTTCTTCCTTGGCCGGTAACAAAAGGAGGGTATTTTATTGCTTTTGGTGCTTCGAGGTGACCGAAACATACGTGACCAAACCAAGCCTATTCACTTTCGCTTTCAGCTTAGAAGAAATTGTTTTGCATGTCCGATTATTTTGTCAGCAATTTCGTACTCTATACTACAATAACACACAATGTTATTGTCCTTAGTAATAAAAGTTATACTTAGTAATAAAAGCTTTTTTTTTAGATATAATAACAACAACACTTTATTGTTCCTTACTAAAGAAACAATAAAAATATGTTCTATTAGCATTAATAATGTGATTCTTCTTAAGATTTCATATTGATTTATAATTTTAGATAAAATTGAATACTTATACTGTTTTTAAAATAATTACATACTATATCGTTGCGGTGAGATAATCTAATGCACACTTGCTATAATTTCATTGGCTTCCACAGTGACCTTAACTTTCATAGTTCTCTCATGTGTGTTTTATTTTCTGTTCTTTGACCTCCATTTACCTCTTGCAGATGTAGCTGCGGAGAAAACTCAACAAACGCTGATGTCAGGCATCGAGACATTCGATCCGAGTAGTCTGAAGCACACTGAAACTCAAGAAAAGAATTTGCTACCTGACATGGATGGTACAGTATCGTATTTCATGATTTTTTCTTATCTTTTATAATTTTTGAAAAATCAAATAGAGAAAAATTTTAATATTAAAATAATAATCACAAATTAAATTTATTTTTAAAGCAATCCAGCAGGAAAAAGGAAAGCAACAGCTGATCTCTGGTATTGAAAATTTCGATCCCGCGAAATTAAAACATGCAGAAACACTTGAGAAAAATCCCTTGCCTACCAAAGAAGGTAAACTAAAATTTTAAACATATATATTTTTTTAATTTTATATTATTTTATTATATATATATATAATATTATATTTTATTATATATATATATATATATGTATACATATAAATTGAGGATCATTAAAATAAAAAATAAATTTTGTATCAAAATAATATCTTTTGTTATAGCAATTGATGCAGAAAAAATAGCTGCTTAAAGCAAGCATTTAAAATAAAATGAACGGAAAAGAAAGGGAGCGGCGACTCGTCATTTCTTCCATTTTCGATATTGTGACATTTTATAACAATTATTCATACATTGTCAACAAGAAATAAGGAGAATGCGAAACACTGTGTTAATGTAATCTTATGATTATACTTATCCTACCGCCATGAGCGTCCCTTTCGGCGAGATGCACAAGTCGATTTTTACATAAAACTATTAACAGCAGAACGACGATGAAGATCCAAGTCCAAATTTAAAAAAAAAAAAAATTTGATAAACTTTTACAAGCTATCAATTTGATTCTTAACATTACCAGCAATAAATAACTTTGGACTTGTATCAACATCTGTCTTTAATATTAACTCGCCAAAGGATGTACTTTTTATACTAAGAAAACTGCACGCAAGCAAACATTATTTTCGATAGCAACAAAATTGGTAGCATTGCATGCGTTACAGAATATCGCAATGGTACAGCGGTTGACTTTATATTTGTGTAAAAATCATATTTTATATAACAGGCTATTGTACTTTTTTAATATTTCGTACACATCGCATTGTCATTCCGATGAAAATTATGATGAATAAAAAAAAATAATTTGTAAGAAAGTCTATTGCTTAAACCTGTTTTATTATATTTTATTATATGCATATTATATTGATTAAATTTATATAAAGAATATTTTGATGATAAATATTTACTATACTTTATCCTACAAAATACGACTTTCGAACACTCGCGCGAAAATGTAAACAAAGGAAATGTCTATAATTGAAACTCTTAGTTGTGGTAGTCTTCTTGGGAGTCCTTTTCTGACGAAACTAATCCCAAAAGTACCAAATAACGGATCATGATTGGTTGATAAGTTCTTTTCGTCCAATAGTTTTGAAGAAATCGATTCTATTAGTAACTAATGAAGGAGGACCTGTTGCTAGTCCTTGGTAGCCATGCTAAAACTTTAACTGTAGAGTAACAGTTAAAAATTTTCTTGTAACTGATAACTTTCGATTGAAAGAATTCCATCACGCATTAATCATTTGTCTTCAAACAGGTACAATTATATTTACAATCGATTTTTTTTCTTTTATTTTCGAAATAGGGATTCACGATTAACAATAAGGACAATATATGTCCTTTCATGTTTTTCAAATATATGAAATTATTATTATTTTAAATCAATGAAAATTTTGAAAAATCTCGAATTATATTAATATATATTACATTTGTAATTAATGTATTGATATATTGATATATTTATCAAAAATACAAATGATTCGAATTTTTGATAAAAAAAAGAAAGATAGTTTCATTGTTCTCTTTAGTGGCAAAAAATGGAAATATCACCTAGAAAACCATCAAAACGTGCACAAGAACCTATTGACGAATGGTTACAGAATGAAGGATATTTTAGAAAACATGCACCTAGAGATCCAACTTGCTTATTCAGAGCAGTTAGTGAACAGGTTTATATGACACAATATTATCACATTAAAGTTAGAAAAGAATGTGTGGAATTTATGAGAAAAATGAAACATTTATTCATAGAGGTGAATATATTATATTTGATTAATCTTTAATTATTATTAATGTAAAAGTTTTAAATTTTATATATATTTTTACAGAGTATAACAATTCCATTTGATGATTATCTGGAACAAATGACATGTTTTACTGAATGGGGAGGTATGATTGAGATTCAAGCTATGTCTTTACTTTATAAGAGAGAATTTATTATATTTAATGGTCAAAAACAAATTAGTCGTACTGTTACTAATAATGGTTTCAAGGATGTGATATATTTATGCCATACTCCACAAAAACAATATGAAAGTATTTATACAAGAAACTTTGTTGCAAATGCTGCTTATTGTCAATGTAGGTGTTTTATAATATTATTATTTCTGTAAATAATATTCGAATAATATTTTAATAATTATTTATAGCTATTGTTTATCAAATATTATATAAAGATGTCTTTCAAATGGCTAATATAGAGGCTACTGTACATAAAATGTTACATGATAGAACAGCTTCATTTAGACATGATAAATTTTTCCTTAAAGGCAATCTGGAAATTAGAGAGTAAGTCAAATAATAATTATATTATTAATATATGATTCATAATAATACATACATGTAATTTCATCATGTTTAGTCAATTAACTGCAGAGATATACAACAAAGTTGGAAGTGAAAATGCTAATGATGAAGTTGATGATGTACATGGTATAATAAAAAATATACCACCTTTCCCTTATAGAATTGCCAAAGCTCTTGATCCCAATATTTATCGTAATACAGATTTTGATATATGGCATGAAATTAGAAGGGGTAATAAAAATTTGTTATTAAAAATGAGAGATTAAAAATATTATATGATTAAGAAAAAATATATATTTTTTTATATACTTTAGAAGTGAAAAATGCAGGATGGACTAGGCACAATAGTCACGAACTCCAAATTGGTGGCAAATGTTTGGTGCAAATAGATTTTAATGAAGAAGATTTTGACAAAACCAATAATAATAACGTCTATGTGTCTTCTCTTGAAAAAGATTCTAATGATAATAATGCAAATATACTAGAAAAAAAAAGCAATCTAATATTTTATTATGGACACATTCAAGAAATGAGTAAAAATCAGGGACCTGTATTAGTTTTTATTGAAGAATTAGGAGAAAAAAGGATTGTACCTTATTCTGCTCTTAAACCATTACCTCCAAAGAAAAATAAAATGGCTAATTGGTTACCAGTTTGTAAAAAGAATCTAGTTTTAGATTCAAGTTAGTTAAACTTAATAAAATTTATATGTAATATTTTTTTCAAATTTTTATATTTTCTTGTAAAATAAAATATTTATTTTTTATTTTAATAGATCAAAAATGGAAAAAAACATGCAATACAACACCACGAAAAAATAAAGAATCTAATATAAATATTTTATCAAATAATATTGATAAAAATGAAAGCAGTGATAATATTATCAATAATATTAATAAAAATAATTTTGATTGGGAAGAAGGATCATTGTAAATATTTATTACTTAATTTTTTTAACTTTAATTTCTATACATAATATAAATTTATATTTTGTTACAGAAAAATAGATCATCAAGAATATCAAGAATATGAAAATTATCCAATAGAAAAGTGTCCTAATTATTCAATTAATGTAAGTTATGATAAAATACACATTTAATTATTATATACATATATTATATACATGTGAATCATTGCAAAATGTTTTCTTTCATAGAATTCTGTTGATATGTTTTCTGCAAGAATGATTCATGATGATACTCAATCTTCTACAGTAGATAATAGAGGGCAAGAAAATAATAAAGAACATAAAGAAAAAAATTCATTTTCATATAAAAATTCTGAAAATACATTTTTAAGAAATTCAAAATCAAATAATGTAACAAATGATAATAATACAGGTTTTAACTCATATTCCAAACAAAGAATGCAAAAGGAAGTATATTATTCACCATATGCTGGTATGTAATTAATTAATAGATAAATTATCATTATCACTTCCATATTATAAATTATTCATATCTTTTTCATTTTATATTAATAGATTCTACTCAAATGGATCATATGTTACGTTCTATTAATTGCTCTGTAGAAAAAAGTATAGACATAAATGGTAGTGACTTGCCACTATCAGGTAATCATTATTTTTTTTTATCATATAACTTGATATGAAATTTATAAATAATATTATTTTTGTATTCTTATAGATCCATTTACTTTGAGATTTTTTTATAATTTAGGATTAGAGGTAGGATTTTATACATTATTGTATATTAATTTTTGTTTATATGTTATTTATTTATTTCAAATTATTTGATAGTATTTCCGTGGTGGTGCTAATTGGAATTATTTAACAAATGGACAATCGCCAGGATTCGGTCAATGGTATCAAGGTATATTATCGCTTATATTATTAATTATATTAATTTATAATTTATGTTAATTTATAATTATTTATAAATATATGTATGCATATTTATTATTATTTATTTTATTAAAAGAAATACCGAACGAAGAAGAAATTACAAATATTACAAATGATATGATGCAAGCTTGTGCATTGACACAACAAAAAAAGGAGCATATCAATGATCGAAAAGAAATTAGTCTACAATCATTATGCCAAGAAAATGGAGATCAATATATGAACGGTATAAAAAATATGCAGATTCAAAAAACTGAGACTACATCATGTCTATCTCGTGATAAAGTAAAAGAACAAGAATCTATGAATAAAGAATCTTCTCGTTTAAGTAGAAATGGAGGTCCACGATTTAAAAAAAATTCGGAGAGTAAGTAACAAAATTTATGAATAATTTTTTTTTCCACATAATTTTAATAAATACTCATTCTTTATATAGATCGACATCGATCTACTTCACATTTTTCTAATCAATATGCAAACAATGGACCAAATTCTAAAATGCTTAAGTCAGAAAGGGATACAAAAGAAGATAATATCAATATTCAACATTCACACTCTATACATCATCAAGTACACAATTCTGCAAATGCATTAAATACTTATCAAGCATCTTATATGCAACAAAGCATGTATTCCGGATTACCGTATTATGCAAATGAGACGGAAGCATTTGCGAATCCCTATTATTCTTTGAATCCAGGTTTTGTCTCAATCCCGTGTTTACCACATTCCGATATACATGATAATAGCAATGCACAAACTTTTCCGCCGCATCTATGTCCTGGAATAGATTATTCTCAAGCTTATTCCGGTCTGTGCCCACCATACCTATGTCCCTCTCCAAATCCATTTAATTTACCGCTGCAAAATTTACCGGAACACTGGTATGCAGTTGCTGGACAACCGCATTATATGCCATATGCACCTGTATTATCCGTAACTGCAGACACAACTTGCAATGGAGTACAAAATATTAATCAGAATGCTTCATCTTAAAAATTATTTTGCAGTTAACATATATTAAGCAATCAAATTTTCATCTAATAATATTCTTTCATATAGAATAATTCATCAAATTCTATGAAGATATACATGTAAGAATGTTCCTATTATTTCTGTATAACTTACTTAACTGTTAAATAATTATATATTAACATAGAATAATATGAATATAAAAAATATGAAGATAACTTCTTAGTACAAAATCTAAAAAGATTATTATTAACTATATTATCTATTCTTGTAATATCAAAAACCACTCATAATTATATAGAGATTATAAAAAAAACTTTACAGTAAATTTAACTTTATCTATTAAAAAATATCACATATATAATATTACAAATTAAAGTACAAAAATATTTGATTTAGGTTTTGTAATAATTAATGCAATAAATGATAATAATACAAATTATTTATCTTAAATATAAATAGTTAAAATACCTGTATAATTACATTCAATAGATTTTTTATTCGATATAGCTTTGTTACTATACATTGATTAATCAAATTACAAATAACAAATACTTTTCTAAAATTTTATATGGGTAATGTTTTTCATTACAGATTTAGTCATTCATATTTCTGTACTTCGTTTGTTATAATATATATATATTTTTTTTGCTAATAAATAACTATGTTTAAATAAAAGGCAACATTTATTCTATACTTTTATTTATATAAAATAAAGTAAGTATATATTTTCACTTTTTCACTATTCAATTCGAATTAAATGCTTCTTTTTTACATTAGTGCCAATAGATAGATAGATAATGAACAAATGTCACTAGATAAAATTTTATATAATTGATACTTACTTTTATATTTAACATAAAAGAAATTTAATAAATGTGTGTAATCGAATTAATATACAAGATTTAGAATCTTTAATTTGTTTGAATATTGTTAATATTATTATTTATTTAAAATAATTATGTTTGGATCAGTCTTAAATATCCGCCATTGAACGGGCACAGTTCTAAACCGGTGAAGAAGGTGCGCGCTCGAGATCTTTCAATATACAAACACCGTGGTTCTGTTCGCTGTATTCCACGCCATGACTAAAATTTGTTGGAAGAGTAGGAGTGCAGGAGCTGTGACAGGTCAAACGGTGAATAACGAAATTACTTAATGTTTACTCGATAAAAGGATTTCTTGTATCGAACAACATTGACAGATTTATCCTCGGTTCTTTATTTCTGTTTCGTGAATTATTGTTAGCGGCGAAGATTTGCTATTTTCGTAGGAACTGCAGAACTTAGAAGACAAGAGGAGAGCAAGCGCAGAAACTAAAAAGAATGGAGGTTGGTTATGATTAATTATTTCGAAATTAATACCCATATGATCGATAACACTGTATATTCTGGAAACGCGATATACATACCCTGTGTCATCTTACTCTTGAAAAAGGAAACATCTATTGTTGTTTCTAATATATTTGTTATTTTCATTTTAATTGGATAATAAATTGGATAATTAATTATAGAATACATGCATATTTCTCTTGCGTTTTATTTAGCAATATAGTAACTAGTTTTATTATTCTTAATTAAATGAAATCCTTATAATTTACTTATATATTTATATTTGTTAATATTTATATTTGTATAATATATAATATAGCGCAATAAATAATTAATATTAGTTACATTAAAAGATTATTTAATCTCATGAAAATTAATAATATTTATACATATATATTTATATATATAGTATTTTAATAATAAAATGAATAGTGTTTATTGTATATATAATAAATATTATTCATATTTTGTATATCTCTTTGAATTAATGTCGATCCTCACATATATACACACATATATACACATATACAATATATTTTTATACTTTATATTTGTTTATAGGTAGATGAATGTTCAGCTGGTGGTGATAGTGGGGCTGAAGAAGATGAAGATGATGCATCTTCTCATGGATCTAGAAGTAATAGTAGTACTAGCAGTATCAGTGGAAGTAGTACTTCAACTGATAGTGGAGATGATAGTGGAGATGAGCATGGTACAAGTGGCACTGAAAGTCATAGTTCTGGTGAAGAAGATGAAGAAGAAAATGAAAATACAGAATATTCTGTTAAAGCAGAAAGTCCAGATACTCTGGTACTGCTTAAAATTTCATTATACAAATTATATAATTTTTTTATTAACAATATTTTTATTAACAAAGATTTCATTTTTAGAAATGGGAAACATGTATTGCTGCAAACACTAAGATAAAATTACCACAAGATCTTTGTGAACATGCAGCTATTTTTAAAGAATTTCTGGATTATCCTTATATTTGGAGTGAATGCCTTAATGAAAGTCAAAAAGATACTTTGTGCAACTTTTTACCAATTTTTCCAAAGGATTGTGATGTAGAAGCAGAAACCAAGAAAACTTTACGCATGTTATTTGAACATGAAAATCACAGGTTAAAAATAACAAATCATTTTTAATAAATTTTCAGAAATTAAAAATTATTTTAATTCAATTTTTTATATTTATTTAATTTAGATTTGGTGTGGCACCTCTAGATGCATTTCAAATTCATTTGTCTGCTGGTCATTATCGACCAGATATTAGAAGAATGTGTAGCTTGGTACATAAGGCACAGCAAAGAAGATTGTTATTTGAAGAACGTAAACGATCTTATGAATTGGCCAGTCAATTGTTAAAATCCAGAGAAAGCTTGTTGTCTAACGCCTACAAACAAGGTTTCTGTCAGCCGACGCAACGAACGATGTCAAAAATACACTGGAGGAAACCAAAACCTGCTATGGGTAAGTTAAGCTACTGCTGTGATTAATTGTAAAAAATTTTCTGGCTGTTTATACTTCCCCCACACTCCAGCCGTTTGGCAGAGAAGTATGTAGTAACTTCCGAGGGACAATACTAACAAGCAATGAACCGACAGTTGAAGAGAAAACGCAACTGCGCTATTTGGAGGAACTGAATGCACTGAGGACAGAGCTTGGAGCAAGCACAAAGTTAGCGACCGATACAACATCTGAGAACGAGGAGAACTATCCCCACTATCAAATGTCTGGAGCTAAGCAGAAGAAGAAGAAACGTTCTCTCATGGGAGCCCAAGGACTGTCCATTCGAGGTTTGCAAATAAATCACGAGGATGAAACTATTCGACCTGTTTTCTCCACGCTGCAACGAGCAGAATATCCTACGAATAGATCGTTATTTATTCGTGAACAGACGGAGGAGATGTATCGCGAAATGCTACTTGAACATAAAAAAAGAAGAGCTCGGCGAGATGTATGTGAAGTAATTTTTAAATATATGTGAATAAGAATTTGGATGTTATTAAAATGCTAATGTTTATTATGTTTCTCTAGATACATCCAGAATTAAATACACAAGGTATTGCCCTTGCCGATTTAACTCAAAGAGCACAAATTGGACAGAAACACAAATTATTAATCGGTCCTTCTATACGTATCACTCCAGCAAAGAAACGAATAAAATTGGAGCAATCACCACTTTGTCCACCAGTACCAAGATTAACGAATTCTAATTCGATAAAACACGAAAGCGATAATAGTGATTATTCTCATACAACAGATGAAAACAGACATTCCAGTACATTGGATATTGATCATAAGATGTTAACACCAATTAAATCAGAACCTATAGATGCATACGAGATGCATCAAATATCCAAGAAAAAATTAAGTCCTGCTACACCAAAAGGTAGCAAATGTTCTATGATAACTACTCCAGAAATAAAAAAAGAAGTGGAAGATATGGAATATGATGACATAAAAACAGAACTTAGTACAGGAATGAATGATGATATTCCTCCAGAAACAGAAGAAGAAGAAGAAAACGATAAAAAGCTTGATTTAGATAGCATTGATATGATGCAACTCCCTATACAACTTGATGATGGAATTGACATATTGGACGATGTAAAATGCGAAGATGAAAGAGTTATATCAATACCAGATAAAGAAATTACAGTTCCAAGTAATGAAGAAACTATTGATATCAACAATGGAGCAGAATTAATGCAAGAAACACATGTTTGTTTTTTTTCGCTATTAAGAGATGCGTTCACCTCAAAAGGTGAATATAGAATGAGTACAGGAGAAATGAAGGAAGCTATTACACAGTGGCAAGGAAATCCTATTTCGCCGTTAAACGATTGGTATTCTTTAGCATCTTCTTGGCCAGCATTAGTTCCATTAGCTTTGGGATTTTTAGCTGGTGAGCTCACATATTCTCAAGAAATAGGTGATCGACAAGAAAGAGAGTCAGAGCTTGTTCCTTACTTAGAAAACAAAGGAAATGGAGTCTATGCGTGGATTGGTGCTGGACGAGATTCAGACTCTCGTCTATTGGACTTGTGTACGAAATTTTTAATGCACAAAGATTCATTAGGCCTATCAACTGCAACTAGCACTTGTTCTCTAGCAGTTACAAAGCAACAAAATCAAGTGCCTCTAGCTAATAACAGCAATGTTAACAATAATTCTGGAAGTGGAAATACAAATTCAAGCGCCAGAGATTCTAGCCCAGCAATAGAATCGATCAGTGTCGACAGTGGATCCATTAATACTGTTGCAGAATGGGAACCACCTCGTGCGCTATGGCCCACAGAATGGAAAGTTCGACCATCTACGATGGAAGAACGAGAAGAATTTAGGAGGCAAGAGCGTATGCGTTACGCTGCACCTCATAAAGCATTTACATATAGAATGCATGGTTATGCCTCTGTTGTAGGTCCAGTGAAAGGCATTTATCAACATAATGTTGGTATGTTCGATTGTACAATTTTTTATTAAAATATATATCATATATAAGAAATCACCATATATATATATATGGTATACATGTATATATGTATATATGTATATATTATTGAATTCTTGTAATAGCTTCTGGTTTAACCAAGGCTCGCGGACACTCATTATTAGTAGCAGACAGACCAAATTTTGTGACGATCTTAGCCTTAGTCAGAGATGCTACTGCAAGGCTTCCCAATGGTGAAGGAACTCGAGCTGATATTTGTCAGTTACTAAAAGATTCCCAATACATTCGAGAACAAACAGAAAGTGATGATAAAGAAGGATATTTACATTCTGTAGTATCTGGAGCTTTAGACAGATTGCATTATGAAACAGATCCCTGTGTACGGTATTATCCACGACGTAAGGAATGGCTATATCTTCATCGAGCACGTTCAGAATCAGAATTTGGTTTGTATTTATTAAAAAGATTCCTTATTTTTATATTTTATAATATATATATTTTCTTTTTATAGAAATGTATCATCAACAATTGCAAGGCGTTGCAAAGAATAAAAAAAATGTTGGTAGCATGTCTCGAAATAAAGCTCTTCTGCCAGTCATAAAACCTGCTAATGTTAACAAAGAACAATCTCCTAATAGTACTAAAGAAACGACACCTAAAAAAGAAAGAAAAACTGCAACTACTACCCAACCTGTTATTTCAAGGTAAATTTCAAATTTTGTTTTATAAGAAGAGCTTTAAATGATATTTTTATTTATCTTTTTTCTTTAGCAGAAAAGAACAAAAGAAAAGTGAAGAGAAAAATATCAATGATCATTCCATTTCTACGGAACAATCTGTTGTAGTTACGAATGTAACAACAACAATTAATACGCCTACAACTTCAATAATTTCCATGTCAGGGACCACTGTTCCAATTACGTCTCTTCCAGCTTCTTCAACTTCTATTAATAGCATTACTGTAGAAAAAGATGTAATTAATGATGTGAAAGCTCAAATTACTACAAACACTCCAGCAAAAAAAGCAACTAATATTGGTGGAAAACCAGTTGCTGTTGTAAAAAGTAGTGCTCAGAGTTTGTTACAATCAAATCAACAACATTTTCCACATCATCAAATTCAAGTATCAACATCTGCTGGTCTACAGACTATTAGATTATCTGGACACTCTGTTTTACATTCTGCTCAATCTGTGGTAGCTAGCAGTGCTTCTAATGTGACGAATGTAACCACAAATTTAACTACCATATTACCTCCTGTTAAAGTTCAAAGTCAACAGCAATCACAACAATCACAGCAACAACAACAACAACAAACAATAGTAACTAATCAAGCAGGAAAAAGTATTTTGCAAACTGCTAATATAAAACAACAATCTCCACAACAACATGTACTACCTGGAAAAACTTTGTTAGCTTCTCAAATAAAATTGGTTAGTCCAGGACAAATTAAATCTCTTCTCACAGGTCATGGACTTCAAGGCCAAACAATATTTATTAAACAATCGCCGTCTAGTAATCAGTCACAGCAAATACAACAACAACAATTAAAGGTACAGTCGTTTGAATAATTCATCAACTTGTATTTTATTGTCGTATTTTATTTTATATAATCTAATATATTCGTCTTCTTTTAACAGCAACAACAACAGCAAATTCAACAGAGAGTTGTTACTAATCAGCAACAATCGATACAAACATCTGGTATGCAGCGCATAATTGCGCAGATAGGAGGAAAACCAATTGCAGTGCAAATTCAACAATCACCGCATCAACAGCAACAACAGCAACAACAAAAGATATTAGCAAAGGTTTTAACTAGTTCTAATAGTGGTCAACTTATTTCAGTAGAAAATCTTCTTGCTCAGAAAGGATTGAAATTGGCGACTACAACTAGCCATGCTAATCAACTTAATAGACAAGGAAAACAAGTCATACAAACTCAATATCAAGTATGTATTTTAAATCAAATTTTTATAATGTTCAATTCAAAAATGAAGTTTTATTCAAAATTTTCAATATGATTTTTTTAGGTAGTGTCACAAGCACAGACTTCTTCGGGTCAATCAAAGATTATAGCTAGTACACAACAGCAACAGCAATCACAACAAGCACAAACTGTACGAATGGTAACGGCTCAATTAGCTGGAAAGCCAATAGTTTTAGCAAGTGGCAACAAAAATGTAGGAGTTGGAGTAAGCAACAGCGGAAGTGTAGTTCTCGGAAAACAACAACCATCACAACAACAGACACAACAACCTATAATTTTACCGAGCCAATTACTCAATATTAAAACATTGCATGGTTTAAAAGTGATACCGACTCCAGCTGGATTAAAAACCACAGGCGCAGCGGTATATGCACGAGTTATTGCTCCAACCACTATAACTTCATCTCAATCACCGGGAAATCAACAACAGACTATCCAAACACAACCTTCAAGAAATAATACTTACAGTACACCTTGACAGATTTAATGTCATTTTCTTTTTCATTTATCCTCATTCACAACTTATTTTAATCTCCTGTAGTTTAAAATTTTAAGGGAGGAACATACTATTTATGTGCATAGAAAAAAGGAAATGAAATGTAATAAAAGTTAGTGAAGCTCGTACATAGAATTACATTTTATGTTACATATTATATTATTTAGATTCGGCGAAATTAAAAAAAAAAAGGAAAAAAAAAATCGTCCAGTTTATTCGACACGCTGACAGGGATCAAGGCACGGAGTTTACATCAAGATACTTGAAATGAGAACAGACGAAATTTTTTTTTATAAGTGTCGAATTATTTACAAATGCATGGTACGATTTTAAATACAAAAAAACACGTTTCTTCGTTCTCTTGTATCAAGAAGATTCTTGGCAGCGTTGCATGTAACGCATTAAATAAAACTTATTACATAATAGTATGTTATTTAAATTATTTTTTACAGATTCTCTTTATGTATCATTTTTACATTGTAGGAAACTCTATACTTATGAAATACTTAGGTAGCAACAGCCACCACGTCTTTGGTCCGTTTTTTTATGAGAGGATATCGATTTAAAAACATTGTGACAATATCAATTTATGTACAAAATTTTACGAAATACGTAGTAGTCATAGAAACACAATACAAATAAAGATACAACGCAATTTACATTTATAAAATTAAGAATATACAATGTCTATTAATCCGATATCCTTTTTTGCTATAGCATCAATTTATACTTCCTAAAAAAGAAAGTTCGCGGAACTATGTTCCTTCCGAATTTCGTATATCTTGAAATATGTCTATTAAATTATTTACACCTATCAAGTATCCATCTTCATGGTTTCCTACTTTCCATTCGGCATCATGATGAATCCTTGGTAAATGTTGAGGCAGAGGTAATGTTTTTGCAAAATCAATCATCCAAATGCCGGCATTTTTGGTGTCATGAACAAACAACAAACTAGATCCGACGACCTCATGTGAAGCAAAAAATGGTGATGCTTTCAGTGTGGCCCTAATCGCTTTTAAACGTTGAATATATTTGGATACTGCATGCGGATAGCCTTCGACAAAACGCCTTAATGCCTCCGTAACCTAATACAATTTTAAAATAAGATTATATTCGATTTATATTCAATTTGATTTATGCTTAACAAACCTGTTCTCGACTTCTCGTCGTTTTAAAATCTTTTGACGAGCCTCCGTGTGCAAGTTTAATACCTTCCACGCGGAAACCTAGTGTTGCTGTACTAGAGATCGTTTCACGCCAAACCATATACCTTGGTTTTGTTACTCCTTGCACACGACGTTCCTCAGCACTCGGTGCGGTTGGATCTACTTGTACCATTTTTTCATACATATCTTTTCGTAACTGCAACGACAAATCACAAATTTTTTGTTTCAAAACAAATGTTAGATAAAAATTAGATGATAATTAAAATTTTATTTTATCAATTGAATTTTAATGATACATAATCTTGTTATTAATTGATATTAAATATTACCTTAGGTCTTTCCTTCGCTTTTGCAAGCTCTGATTCTAGATATGTCCTAACTCCAACTTTACAGTCCATCACACAAGGATGTTCAAAATCTCCAAGAAGATCCTGCAGTTGCAAGTAAGAGGATACTACGGTCTTTTTGATTACAGAATCACTAGAACCATCTTTCTGATGAGTTTCTTCTGAATTAGTTTCTTCGACGTTACCTTCTTCTACATCTTTTACATCTAAAACACCTTTGAATTCTGGAACGTATGGCCTTAATATGTCATTCATTAACAAACGAAAACAAGCTTCTTCCTGAGGGCAAAGCTTTTTTAAAATTGTTCCTGGAGTAGGTCCTGCTCTGAAATTTCCCTGATGACCTGCTAATTGCACCTAAAATTATATGTTATAATATCAAATTATAAATGTTATTTTATTTATATAGTTGTTTGTTTAAAATTGTTTTATTATTATTTAAAATGTAGTTATATTATGTTATATTAAATTATAAAATTAATAATAATTTTAATTAATAATTATAAGATATTATTTAAAAATTTTGAGAAATTTTTAATTGATTTTGAATAGTTTAAAATAAAAAACTTATATACCCATGGATATCGTTGTTTCTTGTAGGTTTGAAAAAAGGGTGTCCAATGGACAATGTTTCTAAGTTTTCTCCATCCTGATGACTGAAAAAAATTTAAGAACAATTATCATTAAAATAAATCTTATCTTTTTCGTTATTGATATCATTCTTAATAATTATTTACGGAAAATAATAATTTTAAGAAACTTTATTGCTTTATAAAAAAATATATTTATTTAAAATTTTTCTTAAAGAAATTTATTTTAAAGATCATTCTTTCCCGTTGTTACCTTCGGGATCTTTTTTTCGTTCGATTTATCCGTGTAATCTGAATCCCATTCAGAACTTAAATCATCACCACTACTGCCTTCTCCCCATTCCAAATTAATTTGAGGAACTTCCAACAACCTTAAATATTGTTGGTATCCTGAACAATTTTCCAAGCAAACTTCTTCTCTATTACTCTGATATTTAGAACATTTATCACACTTGAGATTTCTTTTGTAACTGTCAATTCTATCATTTCTTAATATTTTTACATTATCTAAACTCTTCTTTCTTCTTTTCTTTTCTTCAAACTTCAAACAAACATTACTTTTTTCTTTATTCTCACATTCAAATAAATCATTTCGCAGTCTGTCAACTATGGAATTTTCTTCTTTTTTACAATTATCATCTATTTCTTTAGAATTATCAGATTCAATTTCCAATTGATTTAATTTTTCAAAATCCTGATTACAATGATGATTATTCTTGGATTTTTCTTTATTATGATCCTGAGGTTGTGAAGCCAATAATGATGGTGATGGGCTTCTAGAGGAAGATGGCGAGCGACGATCGACGATACTCGAGGAAAATCGCCTCGAATACCTTCTGCTTCTCGACCTAATGATCTTTCTTTGGCTCAACGACTTTCTGTCGCATTCATCCTTGTCCACACAATCTTCCAACGATTTTGTGCAAATTACTATTTTCGGTATCGTTATTCTGTCATAAGTCTTCTGCATCTTGGACTTGATTAATAATAACAAGATTTATACTTAACAAACTGAAAATCAATTATTTAACGAAGATCTAGCATGAGAAAGATAATTTCGAAAATAAATTGAATGATTTTTATTCATAATTATAATATTGAATGTAAGCAACATGTCCTCGTATCCCAAATTGGTTGCTAATGAACCACGCATGAATAAAAATTCTCAAAGGCTTTCACGCTTTCGTTTGAAGAAAAATAAAATTATTATCTTTCTTTTCTTTTCAAATTACATGATTCTTCCAAATATTTATTTATCTTCTAGAATTCTCTTTCAAAAATTTTCTTTGTAAAAATAATTTCAAATTTTTTCAAAATTTCTTTTACAATTTCTTTTTTAATTTTTTTTAAAACAATGATATAATTTTCTTCAAAATTTTTCCGCGAAACTTTTCAGGATTCTTTTCAGAAATTCTCTCAAGAAAAATATATTATTCTTTTTGAAAAAATTCTTTCCATCTCAAGATTTCACTGACAAAAAAATAGCGTGCCTCCCGGTGATTATTACCAATAATCGTCGAAACACTTTCTCTCTTTTTGGCCAGCCTTTATTCCATGAACGCGGCCACTATCATTATTCACCTGGCAAGAAGAAGAAGAAAGAGTCGTTCCACGCGGCTCTCGTGTAATTGGTAAGCGGTTCGACACCAGTTAATTATCTTAATGACGAGCTGCGACCGAATCGAGACACCTGGATCGACTGGTAGCCGTCCACCCACGTCGAGGTCTCTTCCTTGGGCCGAAGGAAGGCAAGCTTGGAAAGCGAATCGACGCGTGTGCCACTTCTTTTATTCCCTCGTCACGTGCTCCACGATTGTTACGAATAATTTCTCTCTAATATATTTGTTATACATTGATCATCTCAAATCACTTTGACTTTTATTTAATTTCTTATTTTTTTTTTTTATATTTTATATTTTATATTTTTTTTATATTTTATATCAATGAGAAAATAAAAGATTGATTTTTAGAACAATGGAAGAGTATTTATTAATATAATGCCTATCTTGTTTTTTAGATAAGAATGGCAATTAAAATCTATTTAGAATAAAACTTTGTACAAATTAAAGAAATTATTTTGATCCTCAAAAATTCTTTCCTTGTCTTCCTCTTTCTTCTTCATGTCTTTTTTTTTATACGACTTCTTCTATTTCTTTTATTAAATCACTAATTTAACGATTCACACTATCTTTTGGTTTAAAAATATATACACAGATTCATTTCCAATTTTAAGATTTTCAAATCGCACTAGAAAGTCCACTTTCAATTTCATCAATCAAATCAAAGAGACAGAATTTTATAATAATAACTGTTCAATCGCTACAGAGATGAATCACCGCACAGTTACATTTTTTGAATTTCGATGCGTCTTCCGTGTAATCGTCGCCGTTGTTTACGTTCCACGATCGCTCGATTACGTAATATCGCTTAAAAGCAAACGTGACGTTTTCCAGTCGCGATACATCCACACACGTCCGCCCAAGCGTTCCGCTTCGAATTCCTCGCGTAGTTTGCGTGCTTCTTGCGACCTCTGTCTTTAAAAAAATTATCACAATTGCATGAATGGATCAATTGATATCTGAGAAAAATCAAATTTAATTTTTTCTCGAATTTAATTTGGGATATGTTATTAATTTGTTCAAATTGAAATTTCTAATATTTAAATTTTTCTTATTTTTCACTTTCAATCAAAAATCGAATTAGCTATTTGTGTTTTTAATTTTTTTCAAAGATTAATCGTAAATCGAAATAAAATAAATAGTGTTCATTGTTCACTACTGGCTTTCTTGGTTAATTGCTCAAACATACATGGGATACACGTGCTTCACTTCTATCAGTTCTTACTTACGTAAGGGGAAACTTGGACAATATTTCAAGATTATCCCAACGATAATTGTTCTATGTGGTGAATGTTATCGCGTGTTTACTTTAAGGGATTTCCGTTTGTGGTTTGTGGCACATATAATTGTTACTATTTTCTCACGAATATATGACGCAACAATTCTTCGATAATTTCTTCTTATTCTAAACATTTAATTCAATTTATTTCTTGATTTTTTTGCGAATCACAAACTTGCAGACTAACTATTTTAAAGTTGATTCGAGCATAGAAGATGATTGTCGTTAGAAACATCTCACTTCAAATTTCTTCTTTCAGAGAAGTTTCACCAATTTCCACCACTTTTTAATAATTTGACACTTCTTTCAACACGATAAATCACAATTATCTCAAATTTCCTTTTCTAACTCGTTTCCAAATCTCTTTTCATTTCCAACAGCAATACCTACAACCAATTGTTATTTTACGTGTAAATTTGATCATTGAACAAAAGATCGTTGTGATATTTATAGTCTGAATATTTAATGAAATCACAATAGATAAGAATGACAAATTTTACTCCCTGATGTTTATAAACTGGTTACTTAGACGAGTTAAGTAACTTTTTCCAAGACACAAATTAAATACGATTCGAGGATAACGCAGTCGACTCGACAACGATCGAAATGCGTCATCGACTAATTAACTGACGCTTGCTAGCGTCATTAGCATAATTATCAGGAGTGGACAAAACGTTGGGGCGATTCAGAGGTCGGCGGGCCTCCACGGTTGACCGGAAGTCGATGTTCCTCGCGGTGTTTTGCGTTTTAATGATATTTTTAATGATTTAAAATAGCATGTGTGTTCATAAATCATTCAAATATATTCATATGTATGTCAAATATATTCATATTTATATAAATCATATATGGAAGAACAAGCTCGACTCATGATAATTCTTATTTTATTCAGATGATTTCAGAATTAATAATCCTTTTTGATTTTCTTTCAAAAAGTATCTTGATTACATTGCATTAGAGTGTATAATATAAAAACATGTAGTTTTTACATCTTGCAGGAATTAAGCTAAAATTTTCCAAGCATATACAAAAAAAAAAAAAGAATACAAGAATAGGAAAAGATTATGTCGCGATAAAAATATAAAATTAATTGTTATTTTTCATTGGATTTTTCACGGATGTACACAATGCATTCTCCTTCTTCCTCTCAATTCCTCTTCGTTTCTTCTTCGTTCTTCGTTCTCTGTACGTCCACGTATGTTACTTGTATTATAATCAAGCGCAAATAATTTTGAAGAATATTTCATTCAATTTCACGCGTTTAAAGATACACATTGAACGATAAATTCGTGTATTTTCGCGTGTCTCTCGTCGGTTGCACAACGATCGCGTAGAAATTGGGTCTCCGTGCTCGCGTGACATTTATGGAAATTTTACGATATTCATACACGCTTTATATATGAAAGTTATGTGCGCCTCCATCTTCTTGTCTTCGATGTCCTCCGTTTCTTTTGAAACGTTTCGTTCTCTCTTTCTTTTTTTTTTTCAAGACAAATATCCAATAACAATATGTGCTTTATCTTTTTAGAATCACGGCTTGACCCATGAAAGATATCTTGGATAAAATCTGGAATTTTTTGTACAAAAGTGTTAGTAAAGGAAAGATAAAAGAAAGAAAAGTATTAGAATTTTAAAGAGAAATGAACACGAGAATGAAAATATTCTATATATAGGGGAATATATGGTGCCTTGCCTTTCTAGGGTGTTTTTTGTTAAAATTTTCAAGTGGCACGACTTGAAAAGGATCGAGAGCAATAAAATTCAGGAAAAACTGGATCGAAGAAGAAATAAAGAAGCGAAGAAACGAAAGCGAGAAATCCTTGACCCAGATACTATCCGTTGAAAAAATATTCGATAACAGGGTCCAAGGCTTGTGCGTCGTGAAAATCACTTGGATTGGTAAAAAATGGACAATTAAATGGCAACGTGGCAATGTCTGGATAATAAATTTCATTTGCACACGAAAAACGAAATTAAGATAACTTCGACCTAAATAAGAAACGTTATGAGAATCAATTGTACATGAAAAAATATATTCAAAAAGTTAAGAAAAAAAAAAAAAAAAAGAAGAAAAAAGAATTTCCGCTATTGGCAAAAAAAAAAAAAAAAAGAAAAAGATTGTAACATAGCATACCTATCCACGCCTTAAAAGTACTTTTGCGTCAGTA